CAGGCATTGGGATGCTGGTCGGTTTTACTTCGATAATCCATTTAAGAGACCTTACGAAGGTCAGGAGAAGGCGGGGATTAGGACAAAAGTGATGGTATTGGTAGAAAGAGTTTCGCGCCCTGTTCCTCACTCCACCCATGACCACCACCTGCTGCTGCCTCCATCGGCCTCGGTGTCTTTTGTTATACGCTAAATACGAATCGCAATATTCAAAGCGCCTCAGACACCCGATCCCTTCGAATGACGACCAGTTACCCATTGCCGATCGTATTCGAGTGATCGAATGTGAAGGCTCGATAGACGACGTGTGCCCCCTGCTCGTAGGAACCGCCTACAGTGGAACTGCCCGCGTTTCATCCGCAAAAACTCAAGATGTTCACACACAACACGATTGCTTCGACCTACTTCTCAGTCGTATATTATGACCTCTTTCAGATACTTTTTTTTNTTTTTTTTCTGCTGATATACCTTCCGGTTAGCCACTCGCACCAGTCCAAGACTGTCCACTGTCAGTCAGCACCGTCTGTTAGTGGCACCCCACGGCCTTTCGGTGTAATTCCGGAGTAACTTTAGTATCGCTCCTTCTCAAGGAACTGCTACCTCTTGACAATGGCAATGCTCCAGTAACTCCTCAGCTCCATTCCTGTTGAAAATTCATGCTATACCGAACCCGATATCTCGGGAAAGCCGTAGATGTTGGCGTCGTGCGGGGATAGGAGCGATTTGTTGGAGCAGACTGCCATTTCGGGATAGTTCTTCATCTTTCTGCAGATTTTCTTATCAACACCGATGTTTTCATTTTGATCATTGTCTAAATCGTTTTTTTTGACCGTCAAACCCTGAGTAGGTGCCAAACATCAAAACCGACTCGAAAATGATCTCCCACAATCTCTCTAACGACGATCAGCTGAGCAATCTACGAGCAATACATAGAACAGGCTCGAACCCCCCATCGGTAAACAGAGAGTCCGACTCCCTTCAAATCTGAAAATGGACCTGGTAAACAAATTCATGTTTTCTTTTGAATACACTACCGGGGCCGATGATGGAATATGAAAAACATTTTTGCACAAATGTAAATTCCGAAATTTCCATAAAACCCCCTTCACCGTTACAGTTTTGTTTCATGCAACATGCCTTCATACCTGTCTACGACAATAAACAGAAGGGACGTTTATACTGTTTGTTTCGATTCATTCCTTTTCCCATAACTTTTTCTGGGAGAAATTTGTTTTTTCCCCTACTATATATGATAGTCATTGAAAGTAACACCGAGGTCATCCAGTGTCTTTGCCATATCTTTCCGACTGTCCGCATGTTTCTCCGCTAAATCAACTCATGTGGTCGTGTTTCCCTTTTGTACTCGAATCCTTTTTATGAATGAGAACTTTTCTGCTGTCAATTCCGCCGTTCATGAGAGGTCGAGTATTTCGTTCTATTTCGATTCGTGGCTACGTTGATCTGATAATCCGATGGAATTGATCGCTCTAAACAGGACTGGTGTGGGTGGCTTTACAAACGCCGGCTCTGTCTCCGTCACGGTTTGAGGTTCCATTGGTTCCTGGGCTACTCGTCAGTTCATCCCTTACTAAGAAATCTTGAACGGTACTGTACCTAGTGAGTGGGTAAGAGCAGTAAACAACTGCAAAACAAGAAAAGTGTTAAAAATAACGGGGCTCCAACTTGTTTATTTATTACACGCCGTACAGCTCGCCGCAAACCCTCTCCGTTCGCTAAGTTGCAATATCATTCATACACTTGAGCTTTCAATTACCTAAGAAGATCCCTGTGGTCCATGCTACCCAAAGTGAATCGGATACGAGCACTTAGTGCATTGAACTGTTGTATTTTGTGTATTATTCTTGCGAAGGGGCATCTGAGAAAGGTGCTGGCTTTGGATGTGCTGCAGAGCACATTGTGTCTGTCGTGATTGAGGTGATGGCGAAATGAAAACGACGACTTCCAAAAAATTCTTTTGTGACGGAATTACACGTTCCCTTCCTCTTTTTGACTCATATTCTCGACAACCTCATTGAAAACTTGTGGCGATACGACCTTAATGCATCAGCCCGACCACCACGTTGATTGTATCATCCCAATCAACGGAATCAACGATGCATTTCTACTGTTGTTCACGTTACTTTCCGCTTAGAATCCGGTCGATCGCTAAGGTGTGGTTATGATAAGTCTTGAAAGCATTGGAGAAAGGTTTTTATTTGTGTAGACGCAATGCAAACCAGTACGATCCTCACAACGCTATCTTTTCGCTCCGAACCGTCATCGTCGTCCCATCCTTCGCCTCCCCCTTACCCACCACCATTCGGACCGCCCCGTGCAATCACGTAATTAATCATCGCTATCCGTTTCTCCATACTCGCACTCCACACAACTAATCCAATGTTGCAAGTGGGATCTGATACGATCGCAGCTGAGCTAACAAGTCGTTTGCCCGAATCCTCTCGTTCATTGACCCAGTTCCCTGGACTTCGCACTTCTTCCTGAGCCCACTCAGTCACGGTACAGGAAGGTGAATGAACCCGACAATTGAGTGAGTGGATGGTCACTCGTCGCATGACCCTCTATGACTTCTCGGTATAGAGTAAACTATTCCGAACAAAAATCTCTCAGCCGTTGGAAGGACTCGCGTTTGTCTGATCACCTACCCTTTTCCCGTAAACCCTTCCACTCGCCCTTTCATGCCGCAATTCTGCCTCGATTTCCATATTCACTTTCTTGAAAATCGTGATGGCGCCCATAGAGCGGCATTCCTACCAGGGGAATCTGCCCAAAACATTCGAAAATATCAGTAGCATGCTGTCAATTGAGATACACTCGTTATTGTTCAAGATGCTCCCCACATGTTTACTGATAGCTTTGAAGTAGTCCTGAATGTAATGAGCTTCAGAAGTACTTTCTGAGTCTAAAACTCCAACTGCTTTTTCGTTCGTAGTGAAAGTCTTGAAAAGCAGCTGATAATAGTTCGAAAGGTTTGTTCTATCATTGTGGTCCGGAATTACGTTCTCACTTCCTCTTGTAACGAGATCCAGTGTAGTCTTTCTCACCGAACCCTTTCCGTCCCTTGTTTGTCATTTCTGAACTTTCGCGATAGTCGCGAAAACCCGGGCTAGTGTGAACCTTTAGGCCAAATGGATGAAAACCCAGAATCAGGCCGCCTTTAAAGGGTTGCGTCAATTTATCTACATCCCAAGCTGCTTTTGTAGAACTATTTTCATATTTTGAGCTGCTTACACTTTAACTTTCCAGTTTTTAGTCCACTTTCGGTCTCACACACGAGTTATACGAACATTTGAGCTCTTCGCATAATGAAACCTTTAGCTTTTACTTCTTTACTATGAATTATTCGAAGGATGATCTTCCTAAGTTGATAGAGTCGTTAACATGTGTTCGTTCTCAAAGGATCTTCATGATTGGTTGTTAAATGTGACCTTTTTTTGGAAATTCTTCATCTTAACCAAAGGATAAATTTTGATTGAGTACCTCTGGAATTCTCCCAAAATTTTTTCCCTCCTATATTCACTGTCCCACTCCTCGAAGCTTTACAACGGATGTAGGTTTTTCTTTCGCGTCGTTATGTTCATGCTCAGTGCACCGTAGGAGTAGATAGCTGTTTGCCATGTAATCATATTTTGTTGATTTGAGTGGGATTCTTTACGTACATCGAGATTGTTTGTTTCTTTGTTCAGGGACCGAGTAGCAGCATTTTTATTGGCTAGAATGTTATGCGTCTATCAAAAATTCACGATCGCTTTCAGATGGATTTCATCGATAATTGTATGGAAAGCATATTTTCGTGTTTCAATCGGAAAAAGAACGACGAAGCAACGAACAGAAGCCCCCACCAGCCTCTACACTACCTTGATCCATTGGGACTGTTGGATGATGGAAAACTAGAAAAAGACTTCGAAAAGCTTGTCGTACGTTTCTTTGCTCATGTGCGAAAGAACAAAGTTACAAAATTCGGAGAAATAATTTGGAGTAGTTTCCCGAGGCATTTTGCAAGAGTTACTTATGAATTCAGTCGAAGTGGTAGGGGGCATCACATAACCTTTGCAACATCCGCGAAATCAAACCGCTCTGCCCCAAACAGTCCCCATATCGTCCCCATGATTTCTGAAGAAGTTACGTGCCTGAATCCTAGTAGGAACAGATAAGACGAGGGATTTATTCCTTCTTCTTTCATTCGACCCTAAGATAAGAACCTATCTTTCTTTCCTCAATTGAATCTCTTAATTGTAGGTTACGCATGGTTGTAAGCCGGTTTCCGAAGGAATTTTCAGGGCACAGTTGCCTAATAGAAGTGATCAAAAAGCACTTGGTGCCGCTACTGCCAGATCCTCCTGCGATTCCTCTTCGTTTTGATAGGCGCTGAGAGCTGGACGTTCGACAGTTAGCCCGTTGATTCCTATAGGACATTCCTTCTGCTAGAGGTTCCCACCGAGCGTCTAGGTATCTAACAGTAATTTCGAATGGCAAATCCATAATCCAAGCCGATGCTTACTTCTCGTGTTCAGTCCATTTCACCTATTAGCACAGATGAGCTTTTTGGCTTCGTCGTGGACAGAACCTCGTTTATGATATGGTCCAATGTACGATATCCTCCGCTTACTATCTGCCGAAGAAATTGTCCAAGAGTAGTGAGCGTGCTGCCAATCGCATGTTCCACAAGAACCTTCAGACACATCTTTTTCCTTTACAATTAAGCCCCATCCCACTTAGTATTTAGTAGCGCAGAACGCGTTCAGGAATGGAAAAACATAAAACGTCGGTCTCTAGAATAGGGAGTATGTATTGAAGGGGCGTCTGTACCAGTTGGGGTAGACGAGAATTAGATTGAACAGAGCGTTGGCCGATTCGACTCTTCATTTTTTTACTCATCAGGGCAATGTGAGAATCTCGGCTACGCAACCCTCGTTGACCGGGTCATCGCACTAGTGTAACTTGGATTTTGGTTATTCCTACAACGCAGTTAATTGGATTCGATGCGACAGTTGAGTGAGTTTGAGGACCACGGTATGTCGGCGCAGGGAATTCGCCCTTGCGTGAAAATCATACGCCGAATTTCTCAGTATGGGTGTGAGTTCCTTCACGAAGTTAAACTTTCAAAAGCAATTCGGAGCGGAGAATCTCTTTTAGGAGAACCTATGATGAGTTTTGCTCTCGCAATGTCTCCTACAAGTCTGGTAATGATACATATTGTAATGTGGTTAGCGGAAGACTGCAGCGGAATACTTGACGTCGACTTTTCAGCAGCTTTTATGACCACAAAGGTTGGGCCTCAAATCTCATCGGGGTTACTGCCAAGAAGGTTTTTAGAGTTCGTATTTAAGACCGGATCCCCAGAAACAAGAAGGTGACGACGCTCTGAAGTCTTTAGCCGAGGAATGACCTCAATAGAAGTAATTATGAGAAGCAGTCATAGACTATACCCGATGGTATGATGCGTACATTCGTCATTAAAAATTGTTCCCGTCGGTTTTGTTGGGCAAAAGAATAGATTCTTGCGATGATTCAATGTGGGCTCGACTCATTGAATTCAAGAGGAAGTATTAATAGCAGTGTGTAATGTGAGACGCTAAAGGGATTGTTGGAGAGGCTTCGTCCCTCGGGGATCCGCACCTATTTGTGTATTCGCCTGAATGGATCGCTCGATGGCCTAGTCAACTTAGCTTCAGTCAGTCGCTTTCTCACCGCAAACGTTCGGGTACGAACTAGATGCTTGTGTCGATGTAGTTATAAGAATCGACTATCATATGCGTGAATGAATTGTCTGTTCGTGATGGTGGGACAGGTGATTGTTGATGTTCTTCAGACTATGTATTAAGAAGGAATCCACTGAAACAAAGCTTCCCTCACCTCAAATGGGTCTCCCAACCCGTATTCGTTGATCAGTTCCCGGATAATACAAAAACAGCACTCCAGCACATCAACGGTCGAGTGTGGGATCGCGATGCCCACTTGAGCGGCATATTGCTTTGATAGGCGTTTTTCATGGGTTTTCCGGTGATCAGTCCTCATCTTTTGCTCTCGAAGTATGATATATGATGACGTTTGTGGTACTTGTTATACCACCATTGGGGTCGAGATGGGCTTGCATTGAAATTATAGATTTGTATACATTTAAATACGTCAAGAAATACATTGTTCAACAGGTTGTTCAAAAAAATGGACAAATGTGTTGATTGTTGGCTTTAAGGGCGATCGTTATTGTGGTTGGAAACGGCTGAACAGCTCTCGTATGGGTCGAAGAAACAGGTTTACGATCAGCATTCTCGTAATGTATAAGTAAACCCAATCAATGAATTAATGGGCCGTTGAAAGGTGTTCCCGATGGGTGTCTGGGGCCAAGAAACCACGAGAAGCTAGGTGTGATACTTGACAACTGCATAGAACATAGTCTTTGCTTAAGCGATCCACTGAATGGCCATGGTCCGGATTGGTAATGGAACATTTGAAATTGAAGAAAAACATGGAAATGTTCTTGTTGCATTGAATTTGATCTCTTTTTTGTGTAGGCCCTATATATCGGGGTCGGGAGAAATGACCTGGAAAGAGGTTAACAACTCTGGGTTAGGAGGAAAAGTCAAGACAATAATCGTTATTAAGCGGAACTGTGGTTTTAGGAACAGATAATGATTTCCTCCATTCTCGATTCCCAATCCGCCTTTGGTGGTACTCCCCATGGCATCAGCGAGGAATTTCAGAGTCAACGCGTAGACTTCCTGTAGACACGGAGCTTGCTCAATGTGATCTGGTTTTGGTGCCCGAACTTCGACGTTGCTTTCTGCGGGGCATCGCTCCTTCCAGTTTAGGCTCCTCCAAACACTAGCACACCACTGGACCACGAAAGCCAATCTTATTCGCTGAAATTGTAGAACAACCAAGGCGGTAGCAGTTCAACCGGGATCAATCGAGGTCGCATTCATTGGGTTTCGTAGAAAACTATCTTCAGCACTTCGGAAGGGAATTTTCACTTATGCGACTCCATGATAGCCTTATGTTGGCTGGTACTTGATATAGCGCATAACAGTTTGAATGAAACCCGATCGGGGAAATCGAACAGAAGGGTATCAGCCGGAACTACACAAATTCGCTTTTCCGAGCTGCCTGTGCTTCTCCACATTTGAGATTAGAGCATGCGAAACCAGTTGGCTTTCGCAGGCCAAAAACCTTTTTGGGGCGACCCTCTCACCCTTTCAGAAACGAATACTTTTAAACAAGCTCATTTCATTATTTTAGGAAGAATGCGGTTTGAGCGAAGAACGCAGAGCCGATCTCAGGACGTATTCTAGAGAGAAAAAGCTCGTCATGCTCACTACACAAACGGTAAGGCGATTTAACGATGAAGAAGGGTTTCGAATGCTTACACTGATCCGTTCCAGTCGTTCTTAGTGTTATATAGCATAATGTAAGAGAAAAGATGAAGTAGAACTTCTGCATCGGCTATTATCACAGCGACTCCGACCACATCCTTAATCCGAATCTTGTTACGCAAGAGATCAGTCCACAGATATCACCATGAACCAGATGTACTCAGCAATCAACCCAATCGCAAAAGAAGTAGAGCGTGCCTTTTTAATGTGAGCCATTTTCTCTGTTGGATGAGTTGGATGAGAGATGGAATGCTTCCAGGTAACCGTTACCAAGTCTAGGAGGAGTAATGTTCAACAGAGACTGTGGCTTTATCACGTTTTTGGGTGACTAGGCGGCAAATCATTTCGAGCTGTGCTTCTGCATCTGACTAGTTGATCAGGTGTCTTCAGAGAAGCGTCTTGAGGATAGGAATAGGTACCTTATTGGATTTGAACCGCTCTAATTTTGAACCCTTCGCTAACCCGAACGTGCTTTTGCTCATTTGTAAGCGTACACTCTACTCAGATGCCAGCGTACACTTTACATTGCCTTCATCACCTTTCAGTAGCACCCGCAACTGTGGAAGAAAGATCGAATGATGCTTGCTTGTCATTAAGTCCTAGAATAGAGGGAAAGGAGAATAACAAAGCGAGCTGCTCATCCCACTCATCAGCCCAACTCATAACCTTGTCCTTCTTGCATTCATGAAAGTCAAATTCATGCAATGTTCACTGGTCGTTCCTGCTCTGCAAATATTTTTGTTCAGCTTACAACGATACATTTAAATGGAATTTCCTGTGTGGGAAATGCTTCGTTCTGTCCTTTCACATGGCAGACAATTGGACTCAATTATATGTAGGCCGTTTTGGAAGCAAACCCCAATTTGGGTGATCCCATCATTGTAATGCGCATGAATGAATATCAATATGAATGCTTAGAAAGCACAAAAGCGTTAAGAGTTTTCAGTTGAACTTGAAGTACGTGAAGTAAGAAGTAATATTTTCTTGAAACTGAAAAAATCTAGGCGAACACACTCCACCAACGAAGATTTTTCGTCCTTCGATGTTTTTGATTTCCATTTACCTCCAGCTATACAAAACAGTCCCTTTTCCAATGTATAAACATTACTGTTTGAGTAATTCATCTGTCAAAAAGCCTTTTCGAGGGAGAAGTTGATCATTTCCCCCCAAGGATATGTGAGTGTTCCTCTGGAACAGTTTTCCTGGCTGGACTTTGGGACAAAAACGGAGACAACCATGCCAAACCGAATTCATATTTGTCGATTTTTCCGGTCGCACCCCCTGATTGCGCGGTCAACGAGCAGCCGTAGATTTGCGGCGTGAATGATATTGTTTGCTCGGTGATAAACCCTTAGATCGACGACTTCTGTTTGGTGAACCATGAGCTGATCGAAGCGTGAGAGGGCCACACTGAACGTCGCTAGTCGTGCGTTCTCAAAGCCGAGCTCACTGTTCGCAGACATCACGCCCTTTACTCTACTTCTGAACTTTTTTTTTTCGACTGAATTACATAAATAAATTAGTCATTACTAATTTAGTCTTCTAGTATGAAGCTGTTGTAGTTTCGACCTGAAGAGGACTGCGAGAAGTTGATTTCCTTGCTACGAACGTTCGAGAAAGAACAACAGAACACCTTCGCACCTCCTGTCAGCGTACTCCAAGACGTCGCCATCACACTCAGGACACAGTGCTCCAGGTGGGATCACTCATATATGAGCATCTATTCTTTGCTATCCTCACGTGCTTGAAAACTTTGTAACGATTACATGAAAAATGGTTTGTTTCCCATTTCCATAAGGTCCATTTCAGAGTTGTTCCCCTCTGTAATAGAATCGCAATGTTTTATGCGATGGTTTTGTTGTTGATTCAACTTTAGGTACGTTCTGGTCGCACAGGGGAAGAGTGTGTCTCAGTTTGCTGCTTGCCTTTCCCAGACAATCTGAGGATGTAATCCATAATAAATGGCCCATTATCGCCGGGTGTAACCCACCATCACATTAGCTGCTATGACTGCTTTCGGTTCCTATAAACCGCATCTGTGGTGGTCTTTCACTATGCGGAAGTTGGGCCTGTACGTAACGGGAGAAGGGGGATCCAGGGACGATCTTTGTACTGTTTGGTCACCGAGCTTTTCAAATCATAGTTTACTTCCACTTAGACTAAGTGAGCTGAAGCAGCGAGGGTGGAAACAGGGGATGGACTTTTCCAAGAGGGTAGCTCTCTGCAGCGAATGAACCAGCGCTTCACCGCGAAGTGTGAACAGAGCCTGCGTCCGACCGTTGGACTTTTCCTTCTTATTGAAAATCCTAATTTTCTGAAAACAGCAGATGAGACTCAATATAAGCCGACTTTTCAAGATAACCCTTTGTTCCCTCCGTTTTCATCTCGGGAGCTTCTGGAATTCCTCAATTGAGCCCTTGATCGGCAGTTGTTTACATGAATCGTAGGCGATCTGCGCCACCTTCTCGACTTCAAGCCTCATCCTATCGTTTCTGCATTTACCTTACTTTTTTGTTTATCCTTTGAATCCTTACCATCTTTTATTTGAACCCAAATGTCTCTTCCCTTTTTCAGTCTCCCTATTTAGTTAACTTTCAGTCTTCGTTTTTACTGATTGATACCCTTCACCTTTTGTCCCCACTTTCGTTCTTTTCGTTCTTCTGCGACTTTCAGTAACTGACGGCGCTTCTCGTTTAACGAGCTTTTTTGCGTGCATCTTTTCTTCGAGGTACATAGCAGTTCACATAGAGCAAGGCGGTTCGGTCCTGCTTCCAGACCCATGTCAGTCCAGAATCAAACAGCTGTTCATCACCTAGGCTCGCTATCGGTTTCACGTAGCATCTCTCGTGTATCCTCCAATTATGTTTATGCGAATCATATGCTGACCGCGCTGGAGCGGCGATCTGTTGATTACCCTCAGTTTGGTAATCTAAATCATCAAGCCCTCAATCTCTCACCTATCCCGTCCTGTACCGATGACTGTAATTCAAGGTTTGTTCATATCCTCTTTTCTTTTTAACGGAGCGGCCTTCAATCGATTATGTTCCAACGCATTTTATTACTGAAGGAAGGTAAATTTATTTTGATTCTGTGGTTTTTATTGAGTGAATGTAGTTCTCGACGTTATTAGCAGAATCAATGATTGCCAGGCGGCCATTAATCGTATAGGTGTATGGAAGCTGAGGTACAAAGAACTAGCTACAAAAAGAAGCCGAAAATACCGGATTGGCCTTTGGTATGCTCATGCAGAACAGGGGCCAATGTGGATACACTCACGAGCAAGGAGTCTGTTGAATTGGGTGGGGGGGGGGGGGGGGGTTAGAAAATCGTGTGTGCACTGCGGAGACCAGGAACCACAATAATCCACCAGAACTGGCATTGAAAATGAATGGACGACTCGGAGGAATCAATTTTGACAATGCGATATCCATAGTCTAGAGCTTGCAACCTGTGAGCAAAGCTTTCTAAGCCTTTGGGGGTTTAAGTTCCCACCCACAATTCGGTGGAGCATCGGAGCTTTTGCATCAAGGAAAACCTACGTCCCACTTTTGGAATATTTCTTCACTATTGTCGTATTGTAAAGGATGAGTGGGACTGGGAATAGGAGTGTCGAGTTCGGAAAAGCAGTCCATGGTCCAGGTTGTGTCGATCTAGTTATCTTGCTGCTGACAGAGTGGAAAGAAGAGGGGTGGTGGGGATGTGCAGATAATGGTGGCTGACAGCGGAATAAAGGGCGTACAATGAGAAGAGCTATCTATCGTCAAGGTTCTGCATATGTACCTACAGTGCTAGTGCATGCAAAAGAGTGTCTCTTCCCAATGAACGCAGGGTGTTCCGTAGGAAGGAAAAAACTCCCCTAACGCTAACACGTAAGAAAGTATATTTTGGCCAAATAAAGCGTATTTTCGATGTTTGGTTGATTCCTACCTTTGGTTTTAGTAGAGCTGGAGAATCACCTAGCACCCTGCACCTGCACCTGCCATTCCTCACTGAACGTTTTGAGGCAATGATCGTAAAACAAAAACATCCAGTACGTTTCTGATCCATTATGTGCATTCTACCGCATCCCTATTCTTCGGCTCCCCCACTCGACTCCTCAATGTAATGCAAGTGGTGAAAATGTTTTATACTCGGCTTCTAAAGTTGTCTGATGACTGCGAATGCAGGCCCGTAACTGTGGAATCCTGTTTAGGGATCAATGAAATCATTTCCTTGTGTCTGCTGACTAGTTCAGTTCAGCTTTGCTATGTTTCTTTTTGAAGAATTACATTGGTACTGGGTGCGTCGCCTATGCATTCGTTCATGGCGGTATTGCTGCAGCTATCTCCCTCGCCAACGTATCTTTACCTTTGCATGATTTTAATCCTTTCATTTCCTCTTTCATCTTAACGTATCTCGCCTTTGTCACAGTCTATTTGTTGCTTATTCATATCGAGGAAGCTCGTTGGAAGTATTTTGATTTACGATTTTTGTTGATTACAGCAACCTGTACTTGTGCTTTCCGGGCACCATGCCCTTTGTCTCTTTCACTACTGAGATCCGTCTGCCCTCGCTTTGTTAGCCTTTGACTTCTTCTCCGTTGCAGAAGGGATGAAGAACATGGTGCCTGGTCAGCCAAATTTTGATAACAGCAATCGTTCTAGTGCTGCAATTGAGCCACTTATATTTGAAGAATTTCTCGCAGTTTTCATCAAGAGGTTAATTAATTGCACTTGTCGGGAATGGGGACTCTCGACAAGAAAAATCCCAAAGACTGACAAAAATCAGCTATATCATGGACAACAGCAGCTGAAGTTCTTAAACGTGGCAGCTATTGGAATTTGAGTAATACCCGAAATCTCTACAAAAGTGGTGCAGAATAATGTTTTTGAGATGAGATCTACATAAAAACTTTAAGGTTAATCGATCCCGTATTCAGGATGGGCCCTGCACTCGATTCAAAATCGTAGTGGCGTTTTTGGACGCATATGCGTCCTGCAGAATGCAGCCGCTGTATAAACCAGTACTCTGTCTTACCAAACGAATCTGACCCTAACCAGATCGGTGTTTGCATCGGGCCGGAGATCGAACCTTGGTCCACGAGTGCATGATAGCGCGCCGCTGGTCACTAGACCACCGCCGGTCGGCAGGGCAAGGAGGGTGCACAATATCCTTGCTTACGCTGTCTACCTCTTCAAAGAGTGGTTGCAATGCATGCCATGAAAAGGAGTGAGCTGCAGGTAATTTAAGAGGTTCTAAGCTATTTCAGGAACGGTTCTCAGTAGCTTAGAGAGCGTATAATCCCCAGCTAACATGGAAAAAACTAGCAGTCTGGGTGGGTGTACTTCGCCCACTTACCAGCGTTCAAGGAAATGATTCAAATCCATATTAGGCCATGCAATTCTTCAATCGTGCGCTTTCTAGATACCCCAGCTGTTATAGAAAGAGAAAAGAGTTGCTTTCAAAGGCTTCTCAGCTCACTGTATTAAAGTGTTCTGGTAGATTTTTTAAATATCAATCGTGGCGTGACTGCACCTCGGTGGACAGTTCGCTAGGCAACATTCCTTGCTCTACATTGGAATCCGGAAGTAAGAGACGTGTTTGAAGGAGGCTATACCTCGTTCTTGCTGGTCGCCCTCTATTGCGGTCACACCCGAAGGTTTATTGCGTAAATTGTTCAAATGAATATAAGCACAGAATTGTGAGAAAATTTTCTGATACTCTATGTTTCCTTCCGGCAGCGGTTTTCAGATCAAAAAAAAGGACAGTGGTGTACACCGGAATTGCTTCGATTTTTTTTTT